ATATATATATATATATATTTGGGACCAAAATATAAGTTAGGTGTTGCATCCTTTAAGGGTTAGCAAGTATCAACCGACTAGCATTTCTGTGCGTGACCCGTGCGTGACCCGTGCGTGGTTCAGTGACTACTTGCTGTTTTAAAGGACAGTTCGTGATTTACACTCATAAGTCCTGAGTTCATTATTATCCACTAATACTTTTAACATACTAATATCTAACCATTACCCTTATGAAAAAATATATATATATATATCATCAGACTAAATAACTAAAAAATGATTGAAAACTTAAATTTTATGGATTAAAAAAAAATTTATTGAAAGGACTCAAAAAAAAGGAACTTTGTATCAAATTGAGGGACTAAAATAGGAGTTTCACCTTTTTTTTTAAGGCTTGCAAAAAATTAGGTAAAATATATTCTTCAAAACTACATTTTTTAAATAAAATATCATAAGAAAAATTTTAAATAGTATTAATTTTGTTTTTAAAAATAAATTATTTTTTTCTTTTTTAATAAAAATATATTAAAATAGCATATTCTTTTGAAGTTTTTTTTACTTAATTTATTTACAATTCGACTTATAAAAATGTTTCCAATTTGTAATAAATGATAAGATTTTTCTATCTACACCCTTAAATACTTTTTTATAATTAATATTTATTAAAAGTATAAATATTAGTTTTAATTTAATCAAATAATTAATTAAAATTATTTACATATCAATAATATTAAAATATATATTAATTTTTATAATTTTTAATATAAATAATTATAAAAAAAATATGTTTATTATGTCTTTGAAAATATAAATTAAACAATCCCTAGATGATAATTTATACCCTTTTCTCCCGAACTAGTTCAAACCTTTAAAAAAAAAAAATCGAAACAGGAACAAAGCCGGTGCTCAAATCACGACAAAGTATGGGTCCACCTAAACATTACTAGGAGTCTAGGACCCCCAACAAGTGTCCGTCCGGCGTCCACTGCATTTCCGCGTGTGCCCCATACGCGTGCAAAGCAGCAGGAAGGTCCGAGAAGAGTTGGTTTACAAAGGGACAAAAGTGGCTGAATCATTCCAAACGGTTGAAATTATTCGATTTCTATAATTGATTAAATTTAATTGGCTACTTCCTTACTCCATTGTTTTCATCGAGTTATTGTCTGGAGCAGGCAACTTTCTCGGAATTTCCCAAGTTCAAATTCATCCAGACATGACCAGTTTCAACCTTCATCAATCCCCTCCAAGGGTTTTCTTTCTCACAAAAATCAGAACCCAGAACTGTAGCTTCCTTCATCAATGGCTGTAAGTATTCTTCTTTCTTGAAGTTATTAAAACCCTCTCTTTTTTTGTGTTTGGGTTGTCTGGGTTTAAGTTTGTTTTAAGTTTTACAACTTAATATGCTCTCCAAGTGTTTGAATAAACTCCTCTTAGAGCATCTATGGCTTTACGTTATTCATTTTTTAATTTTATGAATTCAGCAAGGTTTTCTCTTGCTTTTTTGGTTGGAGTTTTTCTGTTTCTTTCCATCCTTTCCTTTCTTGATTATGTGTGATTTTGATTGATTATTAAATGCTAACTGAAACAAACCAATCCCATCAACCTCCAACAAATAAAATGGCGCCTTTTAGGTAGGGTGTGATTTTGGGAGTGTCAAATCT